ATTATATATATATGTTCATATATTATGTATAGTTATTTTGAAATTAGTATCCATTAATAACCATCGTTTGCATTGTAAACATTTAGTATATATTAGTTGAAGTTTCATTTTCATTCAATATTGTCTTTTATCTAAGCACTCGAGCTCAACGGAACTCACGATCTGTGCCTTTTAGTAGTTTATTTATTTAATATTCATCGCGCTCGATAACAATTTGTATTTTATTTTTCTGGTTTTTAGTATTTTACGAATAAATTCAATAGCAAGTTAAAACATTTAATATACGCCTGCGAATATAGTATTTATTTAGCAACATTGAATATGCCATAAAACTGTTCTCAATAATTATTAATATTCTCCCATCATTCAAGCTGCCGCCCAATAATGTTTGCTTATATATCAGACGTCTTGCGTCTCTATCCCTAACATCCATCTCAGTTGCAAAACCAGTCAAGTCATCGTCGAAGTTTCGCAAATTTATGTGGTCTATTCTTGCATTATTATTGTTGTTACTTTGGTGGTTATAATTATACATTGTGAGTAGTTGAGAGTAGTTCTCCTTTCCTTCTAGCATATCGCAAATGAGAAGTAACTGCATACATATTATTTATATATATAATAACAGGAGATTGTACATATAGATATCGTAGCATATTCATAAAACTCTTGTATCGATAGTGAAAACTATAGTAACTCAATGCTAATGCTAATGCTGATGCAGATGCTAATGCTGATGCTGATGCTGATGCTGATGCTAATGCATGTTCATTCCCTTATGAAACCAGGAAACTTCGGAGGCAGAAAAAAGACAGATTCTCTATAGTTTAAATGTGTTTGTGAATGAGATATGCTATGAAAGCTCCATGAAGTATTCGAGTGTGTGTCTCTGTATGAGTGTGAGTGTGTGTGTGTGTTTCGGGATTTATTTCAAATCCAACTCGTCCTCCTCCTCGGGCTTGGCGTTCCAGCGTCTGCCAGTTGAGTTCACGCTGCTCACACTGCCCGAATCGCTAAAGTCGCTGAAGGCCGCATTCTGTATGCCCTCGTATATCTTGTAGGAGTTGGAGGCTCCAACGCCGCTGGAGCTCATGCTCATGCTCTTGGAGGCGCCGAAGCGATCGGTCTTGTAGTGGGAGGGCGGTCCGCCGAAGATCATGTCCGCATCCGAGATGGAGCCGCCGGACCGCGTGTATTTGCCATTGCCCGAGCTGGAGGCTGTGGTTGTCTTGCCATCTCCGAATATGATGTCCAGGTCGGATTGCTTCGAGGCTGTGAATGCAAACACACACGAATTAATAAATGTCCAACAATAATGAATAGATCAATGCACAATAATTTTGCGTGGGTGCAGTTGGGAGCCAATTCTAGAGCGCTTAAAATTAGCACTACGTCTGCCAATTGCTTACACACGGATCAAACTGGATTAACTGATTAAGGTGAATGATGAGAGATGGCTTGAAATGCGATCACAATGAGCGTATGAGTATGACAGCGAGCAGTTTCAGAGTCTTGCAAGAGTCCTCAATCAACTTGACAGTGAGTGTGTGTGTGTGCATGCGATGCTCGAATGGATCTCGCCAATAGAATTCAAGTTGGAATTTGTGTGTTTAACTATATTTGTTGTGGGTAGGGGAGTGGGGGCGTGGGTCGGTCTAGGTTTGCTTGCATTCCGCTGCAATACACACTCACACATACACGTATACGTATAGACAAAGATAAATTTAAGATAAAAGAACTGAAACGGTTGCAAGAAAAACACATCTATCGAATTTTGTTCTACTTGAAGCTTCAGTTAGATACTTAATTATGCTGGCGTGTGTGTGTCTGTGAGTCTCTCTGTGTGTAAGAGTGTGTGTGTGTGTTTCTTGTGCGTGCCAAGAAAGCCGAGAAATTAACTGAGTTTGCGGTGCGCTCTATCGAGTTGTTACTGTACTTCAGAGATAGTTGTTGTTCCTGTCTGTGTGTGTTGAGTTCTGTGTGTCGTTGTGGAGATTCGTGCGTGCAGGCAAGCGAATAGCAGCACTGGCGAGTGGCGAACTTACAAACAGTTTTGCGGCGCACGCGTCGTATACGTTATATTTGGCTTACACTTTCAAAGTTGGCTATCATATGAGGAGACTCACTGCAGAATACACAGAGAGTGGCACCTAATTGGCTTTGGCTAACGTTCGGAATCGCTGTCTACTTGGCTAAGGGGGTTGCTTGGTTGCTTGGTTATCGATTACATCTTAACTTGGTCGCTGCTAAACTCGCATTAATATACAAATATACTCGTATCAATGTAGGTATGTATACATGAATATGTGTAGTATGGCATGTAGTTGAGATTATTGTGGGGTTATTCGTAAGTTGCGCTGATGTTACAGATGCTGATGCTGATGTAGATATGATACTTGGATAATGATACAATGATGTCTATACACTGATCTTGGTGGCTGGCAGCCCACTCTAGGTCTTGCGCAGCGTTAGGCTGACCAGCAGCACGCCCACGGCTAGATAATTACCATTGCTCTCGGAGCGGGAGTAAGAGGGCCGCGTGTACGAGGGCAGATCGCTGGGATTGTTGTAGCCGGCCTGGGAGGCCAGCGAGTTCGAATCGTAGCCGGAGGTGTCGCCCGGCAGAGCGGCTGTGGTCACAGCCGCCGGCGCACTGTAAACGCTGGCCGAGCGCAGCCCAATGGCCGAGCGCCAATCGTTGTTGGACGCCGAGCTGGTGATGGTGGCGTTGGCGGTGCCCCCGGTCCCGGCTCCGGTGGTAATCGCCGTGATGCCGCTCGCCTCGCTTGCGCCGGCGCCGGCGCCTGCACCCGTGTCAATGGCCGCGGTATTTGTGGTGTTTGTGTCCATGCGCGTGATGGTCTCAATGGAACTGTTGCTGTCGTAGTTGCCGTAGCTGGTCTTGTCCTTGCTCAGGGTGCTGCTGAAGCTGCTGCGATAGGCGCTGGCGCTGACGCTCGAGCTGTTCGTGTTCGTGTTCGTGTTGATGTTGGCATTGGTGGCCACGTTGGGCGGCGGTGGTGGCGGACCGGCCGGAGGTGGCGGCGACTTGATGCTGTTGCCATTGCGATTGATGCGCGACGAGATTGAGGACGACGAAATCGATGATGAGGATGAGGTTGTGTTCGAGGCGGCACCGATGCTGGCGATGCTAACCGACTTGTGTGGCTCCTTGTCGAAGGGATTGACCCGCTCCTGTGGCTCAAAGTTTGTGACGGGCTTATACCCTGCAGTTGTTGTTGCTGTTGCTGTTGTTGCTGTTATATCCGTAGTATTGTCGCTATCCGAAGCGCTGGCAGCGGGCCTAACGGCTGAGCCGGCCGTTACTGCAGCTGCTGCTGCTGGCTCCTCCTGCGGTCGGCTGGGCTGTGTGGAGATCACATCCGAACCGCCGGACTTGCCGCCCGAGGCGAACGAGAACTGCTTACCCAGAAAGGAGCCGCTGAAGCCACTGCCTCCACTGCTGGTGGGTCCAGCGCTGCTGGGCACGCTGCCCAGCCCGCTGCTGTTGCTAGTCTCGCTCGCCGTTCTGCCGCGCTTCTTATTAGCGATTTCCTACATGTCGCCAAATATCCCCGCGAAGGTCTTCCTCAGGTTCTTCATGGTGTCCTCCGCATCCTCGACGACGGAGCTCTGAGTTTGCGGAGGACGCTGTCCGACCCTGGAGGCAGTCGAGATGCTCGACGCCTGCGACGTCTGCGAGTCGCGACGCACCCCACCCACCGAGCTGGGCACCGACGAGGACGGCTCCTCGGGCAGCTCTGAAATGCTGCTACGGCTGCTCAAACGCCCAATCGAGCCCACCGCCGGCGAGGTGCGCTCCGGTATGGGTGGTGGTCCGCCCATCGGGGCTGGCCGCGGTCCAGCGGGCAGAGGCGGAGTCGGTGCCAAGTCATCAGTGGGACTCTCGGCGCGCGAGGAGACCGAAGAGCGCGACGGCAGCTTGCCAGGACCCGTCTGCGCCATGCTGGGCCGGCACACGTTCTAGGAAAGAGTTACTCAGCTAAGTCAATGTCCAACTCGTAGTCTCATCTGTGATCCGAAACTCACCTGCATGCGCCCAGACACCAGATCAGCTATCTGCCTGCGATCCTCCTCCTGGCTGTCGCCAATCAGGGCGAAAGTGCTATCGCAGGCACTGATTATGTACTCGCGCCCATCCTTGCCCACCACCACGGAAAGGCCGCACACCTCCATGCCGCCAAACAGTTCCGATATCTGTGAATAATGCGCTCTATGAATATATGTAAATTCATACAGAAATATTTGTATTTATATATGCGCATAGCTCAATCGAATCTAGCCATCGAAATCGAAATCGAAATCTGTTTTCGATTTGCTCGTTCTGTGTGTGGGTTGTTACTTGTTTGCGGCTGAGATACCCTGTTACAATAGCTAAGCGAGTATATTGGCTTACTGCTTTTCAAAAAAATTTGGTTTACTTTAATACTCATAAAGATTTGTTTTTTAGTTGTGTTATTATATACAGCTATTATACAGCTGTATTTAAAAAAACTTTAAATTAAAATTTAAAAAAAATAATAAAAACACAAAATTAAGCGTAGGATCGTAAGTTTAAGGATTAATATACAGTTTTTTAGAACTCATTTGTTTGGTTACTTCTAATTCGACAACTATTAAATTATAATCTAAATTCGCTTTAGATCTATTTTCCAGTCAAGATCTGCTCCCTCCACTAAGCTTCAACAGGTTACAGAGTATCTGCCGTGCTTAACAGTTGAACCACAAAATCTTTACAACTTGTTGTTGTTGCTGTCGTCAGCTCTTGGTTTTAATTACAAACACAGTTTGTTTTGATTAGGGGCAACGTCGCATTGCTTAGAATTGTGGGTATAAGACAGACATAAAGAGAGACAGTGAGAGAGAGAGGGAGAGCGAGGCCTGGCTTATGGGCCACCCACCTAAAGCGCCGCCGCTGCATTGCCGCATTGCCCGCATTGCCCGCCCGTTTATCTAAGTAATGCACAAATTGCAGTTGCTGAAATTCATTTGCGCGCGTACGCGGAAATTCTGAGTCAGCGCGCTGGGCCTAGCCGCGTTTGCTCGCTGAGTTCTATGCCATTTATGGCCAATGATGAAATGCCTCAATTGATGGCATTCTCGTGTTTCATAGTAATTATTGCGGTACTCAGTTCCGTTGCATCATAACTAATGCGCGCAGTATCTATTTTAGAGTGCGCTGCATATTCATGAATATTCGAATATTCGAATCGAAACTGGCTCAATGCGGCGTGCGCCACACAAGCCAAGGGGTAAAGCCCACCAAATCCAAATTGTTGGCCCAAAAAATGTGCCGCGAATAATTCAAGTCGATTTTGTTGGCAATTTTGATTGGCAACGTTTGATAAATGTGCTCGCCGCTCTGGGCTGCCTTTCAGTTGGCTGCTCATAAATGCGGCTTAAACGCCCGATCTCTGCTAGCCGTTTGGGCTACATTAGCTTTGTCAGCAGGCCAGGCTAGGGCAGGGCAAGGAAAGGCCAAGACAAATAAAATAAAATCTCAAATTTTCAAAAATATACTCAAAAAAATATATTCTATTTATGTATGTAGTTCCTATACTTCACAAATCTAAATTCCATGTTAAGCTAAGTTTATATTTATCATCATATATGTATATCATTTAATTCCATTTATATATCATATACGATCTGAGCATTCGTTAGCGTATTTGAAAGTCGATGAGCTGGGGCACATTGCATTTCTCTTCAAATTTGACTAACTGTTTTGGGTTTCAGGCAGGTCGACTTACCTCATCCACCCAGGTTTTGTACTTCTCGGTTAAAGTGATTTGCTCGAGCATGGCTGAGCCTTGATTGGTCTTCCAATTGCCAGTGATGGATTTGCGCCTGTCAGAGAGAAAGAGAGAGGGAGAGAGAGAGAGAGAGTGAGAGTTGGGTGCATGCATGAAAACATAATAAATTAGCTGCAAGAGCGTAGATAATGCATAGCAGTAGACGATTGTCTCGTTTTGGGTACTTTGAACCCGCAATCGAAGTCGTCGTCATCGTCGTCGTTGAACCCAAACAATGAACTGCACTTGGTAGGATGATTGCCAATTGGACGGCTTTTAGCTGGCTTTTGCGCGCCGACAGTGGCAGTTGAGTCCAAGGTCAATTGTCAGGCAGCAGCGGCGAAGGCACTCGACACTCGACCTTATGGCCATCTACATTGATATCGAGTCAAGTCGATCGGTCGACCGGCCGATCGGTGCCAGCTGTCTGCGGTCTGGAGCTGTGGTCACTTACATAAAGGCCTTGTAGTTGTTGCCAATCTTTTGAATGTGCACGCTGAACTTGGCATCGATGTAGGGCTCGATGGTGCAATAACAATGCGAATCGTTGCCAGCGCCGCTGACAAGTCCCGCGGCATCTTGCAAGGCGCTCTGGTTCTCCAGCCGGGCCGTGGCCACGCCGCCATGGCAATGTCCAGCCTTCAGCACGCTGGGGAACTTCGTGAACTGGAACTGCAATGACAAAGGAAAACAACATTCCAAAGTTGAGACTGATTGGAAATATATAAATTAAATGTGCCCGCTATCGGCTTTTCCTTTATGCGATAGCGAAAATGAATTTAACTCTATTGTAAACGGATGTTAAAATTCATTGGAAAAGTGCCAAAATGGCTTTGCTTGAATTCGAATTTGTGTTCTGCTAATTGAATTAAATATATATTATATTTTTACTTATTACGGATAAGCATGGGTGAATTGGCTTTTGTTGCGCTAAATGAAATTTTTCAGGAAAATTAAAAAATTATTGATTTGCAAAACAATCTTTCTATTAGTTAGAAATAAATTATATATTTCTCAGAAATTTATTAACTCAGTATTATATTTTAAAAATATTTATTATAAGAAGTCAATAAATATTTCAAAATTTCTGATTAAAATATAATTTATTTGCAAGAGAAAAAATGTGTGTATATTTTTCAATATTATTATGGTAAAAATGTGTTTCATCTATTTACTACACGCTATGTGTAGCTCGTTAAAAATTTACCGAGCCAATGAAATTTTGTTGAGTCTACAGTCAGCCCCAATTTGTGGATATATGTATATAGAGCCAAGAGCACATAAATCATTAATAAACATGTGGAAATCTTTAAATATTTATTGAAAGCCCCCAAAGAGAAACAGATCAACAAACCATAACAAACGATGACGCAGACAGAAAAATTGTCGCAATTGGCGCGCGGCGCAAGAAAACTCTCAATGAATATCAATGACAATGTCTAGAGGAGAAGGGAGAGTAGGGAGCGACGAGAGGTGCTGAGTGCTGAGTGCTGAGCGGATGCCCTCCCCTATGAGTGGATGGATGTATGTATAGGCAAGGGGTGCTTAGCCAATCGTGGTCACACCCCCGCATTGTTGGCATTCTTGGAAGCTGGCACGTACTACGTACATACATATATACTACTCGTATGGCTACTTGTCGGGTTATATCAGCGCACTTAAAATATGCACAGTGACGCATCCGCTGAAAGATATATGTCTGGCATCTACCTAGCAGCTCCCACATAGTATTATCGCATATGCCTTCGGCTTGTACTTGTAGGCGTTGCATGAAACTTGCCCCCATGCCCATGCCTATGCCCATGCCCAGTCCCATGCCCTGCACGTGTGCGCGCCACATGGCTAGCCACTTGGACTGCCCATATGAATGTGTATGTGTGTGTGCATGCGTGTGTGAGTCTTAGAGTGGTTGTGAATGTAGACCTGGAAGTAAGTCATTGCTGAGGGGCTGGACTGTGGTGTAAAGTATAACTAAATTATTGCTTGATATGCTCCCTGACAGATGCGCCATTCGGTGTTCGTGCCATTCCATAACCATCTGCATCTGCTGTGGCGCCAGCCATGCTTGTGAGCATAAACTATATGCCCGCAATACACGCAATTAATATTGCTGCCAAGGTAAAATAATGCGCAGAAATGCATACATACATACATATGCAATTGAAGCAGCCGCTGGCCGCCAAAATACTAGAGTTTCCTCTATTCCTCCTACCTCTTGTCTTTCTTCTCTCGCCTCTTCTAATGAATTTACGACGCTTTTGATCGGCCAGCGACGGCGAGCGTAACTCAAATCTTGTGCGGGTGCACAAAAGACTCAGACCGTTGGAAGAAACTCAATTGGAATGCGCTCATTGCGCGTTGCTCTTGAATTTCTGAATGCGTTTGATCGACCGACGAAAGCCTCTCAGCAGCAAGCAGAAGCAACTTAAGGAGTACCCTGTGCGGGTGTGTGGACGGGTAAACGACTCAAGCAAGCAGAGAAAAAAGCTCAATCTCAACGAGCCGAGCGTTCGCTCTTTGGCTAACTGTAATGATCGCGCTGACTCTCTCGGCGCGAGCCGAGTGACTGGCGGTCGGCTTCGGCTATGAAAAGACTTTAAATGGTTGAGTTCACGATTCAGTGCAGAACCGCAGGCGCAGCGAAGTAGAACGCACGAAGACGACGGCGGCAACGACGCGGCGAAGATTATTGTGTGAATTAGTATTATTAAATGCAAATGCAACAAGTCTGAGACCTGACAGTGCGAGTGAACAAATTAAGCAGAGCCCCGCAGTGGTTAATAGTGCTAAATAAACAGTTTTTGGTGCTTAACGATTAACGAGCTACAAATTAATTATTTCGTAAAAAAAAAAAAAATTACAAATTATTTGCAGTCGACTGACGATTCAGGTATTTTAATTATTTCAGTTTTATTTGCATGCACTTAGCATAAGGAATTTATGAATTTGCTCGAAATGAATGCAATTCATAAACAAGCAAGAATTGTGCGCGTTTCGCGCGCGACTAAAAACGCGTGTTGCTGGGGCAGACGTCAAACTCGCAGTTGCAGCATCGTTGACATAGCGACACAGTTTTCCATATTCACACGCACACACACATACACACGTGGCTGCATTTCTTTCTATTTATTTGTGCTCGAACATATTTGCGTTTATTTTTAATTTGTTTTTATTTCTTTATTTCTTCGCTCGCTGCTTTGCTTCGTCGCAACACATACATATATATTTATGTGTGTGTATATTTGTTTTTTTAATTTTCTGCTCAACTTTGATTTGTCTTAATAGTTTCTAATGTCGCCAATTTGTAAACAAAACGCAGCTATAAACAAGTAAGAACGTTGCAGTCGGGCGTTACCGACCGCGGAATACTCATTCACATCCCATCAACAATTTAGTAGTTAAGTTTCGTTCTAATACTGTAGAATATACAGGTTTTTCCGATTTGCCACGCCCCAACTGGGCGTAGACACCTCATTTTTGGTCAGTTTTTAGAAAGAGATAACGTTACCCTAACTGCAAAGTTTGAATGCTTACCCTAAAAAAATGTGAAAATTACAGGGTATTTTTCGATATGCCACGCCCCTAAAGAGGCGTAAAAATTATTTTTGGGGAATCGATAGAGGAGGCTACNAGCTTTCTAGCTCTTCAACAAACATGATTTCTGGTATATCGGAAAATGCATTTTCCGATTTGCCACGCCCCTAGTGGGCGGATCGGGAAAATTTTAACACTTTATAAATCGGAGATATACACGAGTATGTGTTCCAAATTTCAAGTCTCTAGCTTCAATAGCGCCGAAATAGATTGCGTTCATACGGACAGACGGACAGACGGACGGACGGACAGACGGACAGACGGACAGACGGACGGACAGCAAGACGGACATTGCACAAAACCAATATACTGATTCACTTTCGTGAATGAGTATAAAAAAAATATTTCTGTATTGTGCAATCCAGCAACATAAATTCATTTAGCACACGGCATCAAAAACGTGGGCAAATGTATATTTGTACGCATTTATGTAAAGCTCATCCAACATCCAAAACATCCAACACATTTAAAAATGTCAAGGGAAGCTGTGTGTCTGGTTGCGTTTCCATATTACGTATACGCCATGCGTGTCGCTGTTGGCATTGGCCACTTAACGCCTAGGCCTAAACTATAAAACATTAAATGTTTAACAATTTTTCTTTAGAACGTTTGTTAATTTATGCAAATTTGAGTGCAAAATTTGGTTTGCCATAAAATATTTTACACATTGCATTTAAAGTGCTTTGAGTGGTTCGCTCAGTTTCGTACAACTCTTAAGCATTTCCTTCACTTGACCTTACTTTTGCTTCTGCTTTAGTCAGCATTTTAATATATTGCTGTATTCCATCAATATATATATCATATTTTATATTTGTATTTATTCTGGGAAATGTGAGCATGAATATGTAGCTGACTTGATTTTCATATATATCGTACATATGTATTTGTTTTGCATATATGTTTTATATATTCTTGAAWAGCCTGATGTTGTTGTTGTTGATTTTTTGGTTATTAAATGTTCATTTTGGCCTGAAGTTATTGTCGACTCTAATGTAATATTTTCAAATGAAGCATTATTTATAGAATACTAATTCTATTTTGTTATACCCTGAATGCAATGAAAATGATGTTTTACTTGTTGTATTGCCTATGACTAATGCGCTTAATTTGGACAAATGTCTGATAGTAATGGGTATTATAGCTTTTGGGAAAATTCGCTTTAAATAAGATATTGTTCATTTTCAGAAAACTATCATTATCTTTATTTGGTTTCTTGCTAATTCTACATCTTTGATGTGTTTGTATATTAGAAAAATATACAAAAACAAAAAATTATATATATA